CCCAATCCTCCGCATGGACTTCTTTGGGCTTGCTTCATGATGCATTTATGGAGACAGAAGGCTATCTCTTAGGATTAGGAATACAATATTTTAACATTACACTAACTACTTCTAGAAATAAAACTAGGTGATAAACAAACACACTGAAAGTTCCACATACTTAAATTGTTTCGAGTGCTTGAAGCACTTTGATATGATCAACATATATTTGTCTTCACTTTCACATTTTCGCTTTGAATACATTTTATATGTAATTTGAGCCAACAGTCTTTTACACTAGTGTAAGGACACATGCCATGCATGCCTGCAAGTAAAGATAAAAATGAAAAAAAGACATAATTTAAAATCAACCCAAAAGCAAAATGGTTTTTCCACATAGGTAGTGGGTCAGCACTTCAACCCTGTAGGACAAATGGGTCCACCCACAATGTCATAATTAAATATTAAAAGTTTTAAAAATAGGCAAAAATATAGAAACATTTGTATAAAAATATGGGCATATCTAAAACATTATATTCATCATATTAAAAAAAAGTAACAGATAAAGAATATATTCTTAATGATGGAAATAGAATACAAATATTAGAGAAAAAAGACAATTAATGTCTGGCCTGTGTTCCCACTAATTGGGTCATATGGATAAATAGTTCAATTAGACAGATTACCATGTTTTTTTACCAAGTCAACGGTTTGTACAAGCAAGTAGTTTTGTTGTAAATGGACCCAAAATCCTCATCAAATTATGAGCCAACCAGTCGATTTCACTGCAAGCTAAAAAACATTAATAGAGAATCAATGTTTTAAAATTTATTCGAACCACATTTCCCTCTCAATAAGCAAGTCAGGTTTGACTTGTGATGTCATAAATTAAATAACAAAATAAAATATAAAAATATTAAATAATTTATAGAAAGTTTGATTGTGCCTTTAATATTATATATGTGTCATATTAAACAAAAATATGTTCAAAAAAAATGAGAACTATTATTGTTAATGATGGAAATGGCTATAATACAAACAAAAAGAAATTAATGTCTTACCATAGCTTGATGACTTGGTCAAATAGGGTCAGTAGTTCACCCAGTAAGTGGAAGATCAACAATCCAAACTTCTACATCAAATGGGTCGACCCATGATGTCATGATGAAAGATAAATATTTAAAAAATATAGAGACAAAAATATGAAAATGTAAATAAATTTTGTAGAAAAAAATTGAGCACACCTCCAATATCATATATGCATCATATTAAAAAAATTAAGTGTGAAAAATAAGAGCTAATTTTACTAATGATTAAATGGAATGTAAAATTAAAAATGACCCTAAAGTAAAACGACTTTTCCATCCATGTGGCGGGTCAGCAATTAAATTGTCTACATCAAATGGATTAACCCATGATGTAATAATTAAATAATAAAAATTAAAAAACACAGAAATATAATGATCATCATCATCATCATCCATGCCTTATCCCAACTATGTGGGGTCAGGTCAGCTAAATGAATCTTGTTTTGCCAATCTGTTCTATTTAAAGCCATATCCACTGTTAAATTATTAGTGCTTAAATCATTTGTCACTACTTCTACCCATGTCCTTTTTGGTCTACTCCAAGCTCTTCTAGCCCCTTCAATGTGTAACAGATCACTTCTTCTAATGGATGCAGTTGGCGGTCTTCTATGCACGTGCCCAAACCATCTTAGTCTACTCTCTCTCATTTTACCACACCTACTGGAGCTACTCCTAGGTAACAAATAACTTCATTCCTAATCCTATCCTTTCTAGTTTTTCCACTCATCCATCTTAGCATTCCCATTTCTGCCACATTCATTTTCTAAACATGTTGTTTCTTGACCGCCCAACACTCCACTCCATACAACACAGCTGGCCATACGACTGTTTTATAGAATTTTCCTTTTAATCTAAGTGGTATTCACCTATCACATAAAATTCTAGATGCACCCTCCACTTTGCCCATCCTGCTCTAATTCTTTGGGTGGCATCCTCCTCAAGCTCTCCCTTGTTACCAAATCGAGGGCTGGTCCGTTGGTGTGTTAACTGGTTTGTTCCAGTGTTAATGCAGAATTGAATCCCACAACCAGCACTTTGGGGGAAAAGGGGTCAAGGGAAAGGTTCAAAGTAATAGGCCTGTGTCAGTGTTTTTTTATGTTTTATTTTTTTCCAAAACTGGTTTAGAGGGGTCGGTTTAAGTCCTGGATACCCTCTGAACCATGGTCTCACCCGATACAACCCCTGTAGGGGCATATCAGGAAGCTCCCGGCACGATACGTATTGGCTTATACAGGCCGATACGTATCAATACTTTGAACCTCGATCAAGGGGGAAGTTATTAATGGTGCATGGCACTGAATACCAAAAAAAAAAATCTCTCCCTTGTTATGAATTATTGAACCAAGGTATTGGAATACATAGAAATAAAATAAATTCTAAAAAATATAGAAGTTTTGTAGAAAAATATGGCCACACCTCTAATACTATGCATTCATCATACTAAAAAAATAAATGTGATAAATAAATAATTATTTTTATTACTGATGGAAATGGAATACAAAAGCTAAGAAAAAATAGAACTAATGTCTAACCTGTGACCCCATAATTGAGACAAGGCATCAAGTGGTTCAATGGCTAAGTCACCATGTTGTTGACTAAGCCAATGGTTTTTATAGGCAAGCAGCTTGGTGGTAAATGGGCCCAAAATTCTAGTCAAGTGATAGGTCAACTAATCCAACCAATTGATTTGACTACAAAATAAAAAACATTGATAAAAAATCAATGTTTTAAAAATCGATTGGAACCATATTACCATCTCAATCAGACAAATCAACTTGTGATGTCATAAATTAAATAATAAAAATATACAAAATATTGTAATATTTGAGCATGTATTTTAAATTTATTATATGTTCATTATATTAAACCAAAATATGTTTAAAAAATAAGAATTATTGTTAATAATGATGGGAATGGATAAAATATAAGAAAGAAAAAGAAAAGAAAACTAATGCCTTATCCATGACCCATTGACCAGGTTAAATAGGTTAACGATTCAACTAGTAGGGTCAATTAGTTGTTCAACAAGCCAATATTTTTTTTCCTTTTTTTCTTTTTTCAATTAGTTGAGTTGAAACATGCTCAAAATTTTGTCTAGGTGGCGGGTAAATATCAATCTAATCATCCAATTCAACTGCAAGTTGAAAACATTGATATAAACTACAAGCAAGCTTCAAAAGATCACAATGTATTGCGGTGTATTCGGCATATAGTGCCAATTTGGGCTACACCCCAATACACTAAATACTTAGTGTTTTGGTTTTTTGTTATTTTCAAGGGGTAGGCCTTGCTAAAACAGATCCCTTGTAAAATTTTGAAAATAAATATTGGAGCACGTGATCAGAACACCCAATATGCACGTTCGTGTGTATTGGATGTCTCAATATTTTGAACCTTGGTTACAAATAAAAAAGATTTGAAACTAGGTCTCTAGGTTAAAAAGCAATAAATCCACCATGCATGTTTCAACTACTTATCTTTGTTACATGGGCTTTGATGTTATTGAAATTGCTACGCGCAATTCATGTGCACATTTACTAGTACTTGGAAATTTCTCTAAGCAACAAGTCAAGTAACCCAACTATCTAATTCAACCACAAGTTGAAAACATTGATATAAACTACAAGAAGATTTCAAGCTAGGCCTTTAGGTTAAAAAGCAATAAATCCACCATGCATGTTTCAACTACTCATCTTTGTTACATGGGCTTTGATGTTGTTGAAATTGCTATGAGCAAATCATGTGCACATTTACTAGTACTTGGAAATTTCTCTAAGCAACAAGTCAATTAACCCGACTATCTAATTCAACCACAAGTTGAAAACATTGATATAAACTACAAGAAGATTTGAAGCTAGGCCTTTAGGTTGAAAGGCAATAAATCCATTAGTAGACCATCCTTCAATCTTTTTTACATGGGTTTTGATAAGAACTAGGGTGTAAGCGAGCCCAGCCAACTCGCGAGCTACTCGGGCTCAACTCGCTAAATACTCGAACTTGGCTCGAAGATTATGAGTCGAGTCAGACTTGATTCAAGTCCAAATGTCCAATAGTTAGTTTAGCCGAGTTTGAGCTTCATAATAGCTAGCTTGAGTAGCTCGCAAGCTTAATCAAGCTTCTAATAAAATATTATTTTTTTAATATATTGTTATTTATAATATAAGTAAATATTAACTTTTATATTAATTTATTCATAATATAAATAAATAAATTTATAATCAAATTTCATAATATATTTGTATTTACAATATTTCATAATGTTGAATTATTTATAAATTTTAATAGAAATTTATTTATAATTGGTTCAAACCAAGTCAATCTCGAGTCGCTTATGAGTATTGACTCAAGTTGAGTTTGAGTACGAATCTCAATACTCAATTGAGCTCGAGTCGAATTTTGAACTTTGAGTTTTTTAGTCGAGATCAAGCTCGAGCTTCCCAAAACTCAAGTGACTCAACTTGGCTTGATTACAGCCCTAATAAGAACACTCATCATCATCAGCATGTGCAATGCACATGCACATTTACTGGTGTATAGCAAAGGGCTATTGCCCAATGATGATCTCATGTAGTAATTTTTTAAACCCTTAACATTCATTTTAAGTGGAAGAAGAGGATTCTAGAATCATTGTTGAATCTTTTTTTTGGATATAATTATTTAAAAGAGTATATCCTTTTATAATTTCAAAAAAAAAATAGTGATATTTTCAATCATTAATACTAACAATGTTTTTTATAAGTAACAATTAGTATTAACAATGCTCTAAAGCATAATACTAACATAAAATTTGTAACATTTCGAACATAATCTTCTCAAGTAGTTGAAATTTCACAAAATTGGCATTTTAAACGTCACATTTATGCCAATGCAACAATATCTAACAAACAAAAAAAGCAAGAGTATACATTTCACTCACAAGAGTATAAACATTACCTCTTTGAGATTAACCCATTCCCATGTCTCATCTGCTGTATTGATATCATAGACCAAGGCATGTCTTCCCTAATAGAATGGAATCACAAGCTTAGCTACACATCCCATTGAAGGCTAAAAATAATGCATCTTCAACGGTCAAATATACCTCAACAGGGTTATAGTCAGTTATAACAGCCTCGTAGAAGTTGTTATCTTCTGGCCACCTTGTCATCACTTTCCGCCCAATTAATGGATCAAATGCTGCTGCTTCAGTAGGTTCATTTGCCACGAGGGCACCAGAGGAACCTCTATTAGCCACTTGGCCCCTTCCAGCTGCACCTGTCAAAGGGTACTGCATGGACTTCATTGAGGATGTATCAGGCATAGACTGACCCTAAAAGGAAAATGAAAGAAAAACTCAAAAAGGAGGGAAGGAAGAAAAAGATATTGGTGTCAATTCTTAATCCTGCTTTTTTTGAAGAAGGTAAAGTAGGGTATTGTATTAATGATCAAAGCTGTACAAAAAACCCCAGTACAATGAGATTCCATACACACCACAGGGAAGATACATTAAGTGTTCAAAAAAAAGACAGAAGACAGTAAATCATTTCCGTGCATATCCCTGAATAAAGAGTGATTTGCCAGCCAGGAACACAAAACGTCCAGGCATGCATTGATCACTGCTTCAACAGAAATCTTTTTTGCTCAAAAATGTAAGTATGTGTCTCTATCCATGTAGATTCTTTATCTTCACATGACACATAATTCAAAATATTTTGACTTACTGATTTAGGTTTCTTGCCCCTGGCTCCTACTCCAGCCCCTCGCTTTGCAGCCGAAGACGATGGCTGCATGGATGCAGATACTGTTTGTGGGTGAAAAGCCGGAGATGGTGCATTCAAGGAAAGAGAAGGTACAGATTGTGATGTCTTCTGTTTCTTGCGTGATGCTGAGACAGTAGGACTGGGTACAGGATCATGAACAGGTTGAGAACTGAGCAAACTAGCTTGTAGTCCACCTGCCTGTCTCCATTCCCTAATGTCATTACCCAATATAGCTTCCAATTACAAGGAAGAATTGGCCAAGAAAAAACAAGAAAGCTTGTTTCATAACACTATCAGACCTTATCCTCCTGATGATGTCATCCGCATTAACCCTTGTTAGAAGCTCTCTGTGTTCCTCATCTGATACTCTGAGCTCTTTTCGAAGTTCCGTAATTAAACTTTCCTTCTCCTGAGGAAAATTCAATTCTAAGCAGTTACTTAAATCTATTCAAGATATATGGTACATTATAATGTTTAGCAGACAGGCAATTATAAATACCCAAGTAATAGCATCAGATTGAGCTTTGAAGGCTCGAAGGACTGAACTGTATGCTTCTTGCTCAAGCTGGTGGATCTGGGTCTCCATATCGGTATGCATCCTAGGGTATGCAGCAGAACCTACAACAGCAGATCTTCCATTTCCTGCAAGGCGACCCCCTCTGGGAACTCCTCTGTTTTGATGTGATGGAGGAAGATCATCATCAGTTCCTGTTGTCATTTTAAGAAAGAAATATAACATGAATAAATCCATAGGTATGCCAATACTGTGATGAGTTTACCTAAAGAAGTAATTCATGGTGAAAAATGAAAGAAGTAATGCATCCTCAGTGTGAAGTATTTTGTTTCTGAAATACAGATATAGGATCCAGTTATACCGTCCCTTGCAGAAAATAACCTGTGAGCTATGATATCCAGATACCATGTCCAGCCAGTGTCTTTGATGTATCTAGGTAATATAGCTTCTGAGGGTTAAGTAAGCAGGCTATGAGTTATTATGTTCCTCATAAGACTGACGATTGATATTCTTAAAAAAAGATAGGTGGAGTACTTCCAGCCTATTCAGGGATGTATAACACTTTGTACAGACTTGATTCATTACACAAAGTAACAAAGCAACACGGTAGAATTACATTTTTCTTTCAACTACCAAAGAAATGCAGATGGAGTATTGACAATTTGACATGTGTCCACCAGTTTTGCATACATAATAGTGAGGATTAAAGCAAGGTATATGTAATTAGGTACCTGAAAAGAGAGTAGCTAAACAAGATAAAAAAAAGGCATCAATCTTTGTATTCTGTGATATGGAAGAGAATCAAAGTGTTGATTCCCTTGTTATCAGGATTTCAGGCAAGATGGTAAAACAATTGATGGCATCCTTGTAAAATAAAAAAAAAAGGAAATGATGCAAAGTTAAAGAGCTCAAGGAACTCTTCAACAATCAAAAGGCATTTGAGGAGAACTCTATATCTATCTATCTATCTATCTATATATATATATATAACAATGAAACTAAGCCACAGGACTAAAAATCTATAACCACAGGTGACAGGCCCAGGCCCAGGAAAACTGTTAATAAGACTTACAATCCATGAACTGGCCATTGCAGCAATCCTAACTTAATAGCAACTAAGTTCTGAATCCAATAAGCCCACTTAATCAGTATAAGATTCTCTTAAATCAAATCTTAATTTGCCAAATAACTCAAAAATATTTTTTTATATCCTCTACACATACCTATGACAACATTCTTGCAAGGACAATGAATGAAAGATAACTTCCTTTTACAGTTGTGTCTAGTGCCTCAAGCTCATGAAGGTGATGATACCATATCTCTGGGTGCATTTTCCTTGAAAAATGGTGCTGATTTTGGTTATTCTATCCTTTATTTACTTCCTCTACTGTTTTACTTTTTCATATGGCTGATCTAGAATCTTGCCCATTATTTTCTCATTCTGACCCCATTGTACCTTTATTAGAGCCCAATATGAAACCATTCCCTATTCTGTAGGAAATCCTCCTTATAAAAAATCATTCAATCATACCCATATAGCCCTAGTTTTGGTATTTTTATGTATTATGGGCAACGGCTCCTCACTGTTCTGGGACAGTACCTTAAAACCTATACTTTAACCAATCAGACAGACAGAGACCCTATTTTTATCCTACTTTACTTCTTTTGGAGTGGTTTACTTACAAGTTACAACAACTTGTTGTCACAATTTCAGTGACCTTTAGCCTGGCCAATATCCCCTATTTTCCTCTGGCATTGATCAAAGCTTCACTTCTTTTTCCTTTTTTTTTTAAGATTAGGAGCTACACAAGAGAGGGCAGCTCTGCCCCAAACATCACTTGTGCAAATATACATTAAAGCACTCGGAAGAGCAAAAATACAAAAATTTAGAGGATTGGTGGAGGAAGAGAGAGCTTGATGCACCACCCAATCTGCAGCTTGGTTCGCTTCCCTGAAGGAGTGGACAAAGTAAATACTGCACCCCAGACTATTGGCCAGCTTTGAACATTCATTGATGATGGTCTTCAGCCTCCAGGGAACATCAATCAGCTTCTTAAGTCAAGAAATAACAAGGAGATAATCACCTTCAATACAAATGGGGTGGTCCTTGAAATTGAAAGCAACATTAAGGGCTTCCCAAGCTGCCCAAGCTTCAGCAACATTAATAGTGGTCATACCAATTGAATAAGCTTTAGCATCTAGCACATCACCAACATGGTTCCTAGCAATGCAAGCAATCAAACAAGCTCCATCATCCTTTCCCGATGCATCAAAGTTTATTTTGACATTACCATATCTTGGTGTCTTCCAGATAATGGGCCTACATGATTTTAAATTGTTTGGATTGCTAATATTTGCTAAGCACAAAAACGATCTTTATAAGAGTTCACAGCTCTCACAATAATACTTGACGAGGGAAGACACCGATTGTTAAACTTTTGTTTTTCATTTCTATTTTTCCAAAGAAACCAAAGAATGGGGTTATATTTCTCATAGGGCATAGACTCCACAGAATTTGCCACACTCTTCCACCATTCCTAAATTGAATAATCTCTATTGGTCGGCCCAACAATGTTGGGATCAATGATATGCCAAACTTGTTTTGCAAAGAACAATTTCTAAAAATGTGATCACTATCTTCGTTCTCACCACAGAAACAGCACGATCCATCAATGGCAAGTCCTCTGGAAATGAGGAGAGCTTTTGATGGCAGACAAGGTGAGGATAGGTGCAGTCCTTAGAGATGAAATTGGAAGTATTGTTCTTTTGTTTTTAAGAGAAGGTAAGGTATTGTATTAAGATCAAAAAGAAAAGATCATTTATTAACACAATGAAACTGGAAGTATTATCCTTAGCTTCTCAGGTCCATTTGGTGTAGGTAAATCTAAGTGATGAGAGCACATCCCTTTTGCAAGATCTCCAAATGGCTTCATCAATAAATTTGTCAAACTTAGACGTGGAAGGTGACTGCCAAGTGGTCATATCATGGTTCTCTTTAAATGTTTCAAGCCTTTGGGCACTAGAATATCATTGTGAGTACTGTCACTTGGCAGTTTAAGGATATTTTAAAAAAGGTCAAATGGCTATTAAGGGACATGACAGTCAGATTTCAGTGGTTGGGGAGATCAGCTAATGCCTTGGCTGATTATCTTGTTAAACAAGGGGCTACTCGGGTCTCCTTATATTGGGCTTCTCTGTAATTTTCTTAGTCCTTTGTTATGTTTAGTAACTAAAGGGTTGATGTTTTCCTCCATCTCCCCTCCTTAACATCTCGTGCCTCTCCCTAAATTGTACCTTCTTTGGCTTTGAATTAATAAATCTTACAATTCACTGATAAAAAAAATAATGTTTGGAATAGAGAGAGAGAGAGAATGCTATAGACAAAAGGTTTTTATTACTAAGAAATAGAGATGATGATGATAATGAAAACATAAGTACTGCAATAACACCAACACTTTTCTTCACTACTCGGACTTTTTTCAATCTATTTATCTACAAGACATTTTTGCATTCTTTCAACGTTTCAAAACTACAATAACCTATAACCCATAAAGACACGCAGAATTGATATTGACTTCTAAACAACTTGAACAATCAAATACTAATCATAGTACAACTAAACAAATCAAAAACAATGAAAATTTTGGCCCGAAAAGGATAAGGACGGTTTCCACCACCACCAACTGATACATGACACTCTATCAATCAAAGGGTCATATCTCACACAAAGCATAGAGAATGCAAGAGATCATGACCTCAAAAGATAAGGGGGCATTGTTTGGTGTATTGGTAAAATATCAGGCTGACAAGCATGAGAATGCGGGTTTGAATCTGAGAGCAGTCACACAGTACCAAAAACAAAAAAGCCAAAGGTTATTCTAGTGCCCAATCCACCCCTACCAAGACCCAAATAGCAGGGACCAACATTGGACAATGGCTTTTTTTTTATGGTCTCACTAGATGAACAATTGGTTTTTTTTTTCTTTTTTAATTGGTAGATGGACAATTGGTTTGATCACAGGCATAGAAGACCTTTGACAGCACCTATAAGAATTAAGAAGTTATCTGTTACAAGTTGAAGGGGCTTGAAGGAGTAGGGGTAGACCAAAAAGGACATGGGTTGAAGTAATAAGAAATTATTTAAGCACAAATAATTTAACAGTGGAAATGGCATTAAACAGAATGGAATGGCAAAATGAGATTCATGTAGCTGATCCCACACGGTTTGCATAAGGCTTGGATGATGACAACAACAATGATGATGATTATGATGACTAGATAGGCAATTAAATAACCTACCTAACAACATCAAAATCAAGCCAAAAGAACATGCTTTGTCCAACAAAAACAAAGGCTGAAAGAAAAGTGAGGAGCCTAAACTGAAATCAATGGAGATATTCTCTGAATTCTCTATGGCAGACTTGCTGAGAAAGTGGAAAGAGGTTGCTACTGCTGCTATGTATAAAAGGAACTGTATTCCCACTTGGACCCCCCCTCCCGCCAGATTCATAAAAATTAATTTTGATGGATGTAGCTTAAGGAATCCAGGGCCTTCTAGGATAGGGGGTGTTTTCAGGAATGAGGAGGGGTATATTACTGCCATGTTCTCTGGGCCAATTGGAGAGGGTGACTCTCTTAGGGCCGAAATTCTAGCAATTCTTGAAGGAATCCAAATAGCAAGAGAATTAAGCATCAAATGCTTAGTGATTGAGGGGGACTCGAAGGTGGTGATTAGGTGGCTGAAAGGAGATATCAGTGGCTTGTGGAGTTACAGCAATGAAAAGAAAAAATTTAATTGGCTGTGTAAGGACTTAGAGGTGCAATACAGCTGGGTGAAGAGAAGTGCTAACTCAATGGCTGAAGGGTTAGCTAAGCAAGGGGTGGCTAAGGATTCTTTGTTTTGGGCACATTTTTAGTATTTTGTTGTCATTTTGATGTTGGGGAGTTAAGATAGTTTACCTCCCTCCCCAATTTCTGTAATTAATTTTCACAAGTATTATTCATTAATAAAGATTTCTGTTATTGATCAAAAAAAGCGAGGAGCCTAAAATCTAAACTTCCCTAATTCTAAATAACTCTCCAAGTTACAATTGATTAGATGAGGGAAGACTGAAGTCTGAAGAGGACAAGGACCCTTAGTTTCACCGTCTTTATATTCATAAGGCCAGGTCCTTGGTAGCCAGGTTTCACTGCCTTTATATTCTAGAATGGGTGGTACAATCAGAAACATAATGAAGAGTTATATATCTTTTCAGGTTAAACTGGGAAAGGGGATAACTTGAGATATGGACTACCATCTCTCCACCAAGATCTTCAAATATGTTACTCATTCAACATACCATTGGATCCCTAGAGATGGAAGAGACTCTCAAGCTGTGACTTGTGAGAGGGTGGATGACGAATGAAAAAGATGGCCCATGAGTTCTATGACATGCAATTAGGGAATCAAGATCTCTAGCTTCAAATATAAATGACATGTTAGACAATCAGCTAATCTTTTACTGACTCATTGGCAAGAATAAATGCTAATGGTGTGGGATTGTAAATGGGGTCAAAATTACACGGGTGGACCATTAGGTTTTTATTTATTTTAGGTGAAGAAAACAGAAATGATTGTTCCTGCTCTCCTTGTGAGGAAAATTTGATGTACTTTTTTAATTTTCTCTTAGCATACGTATTTAAACTTGTGAACGATCAAGAAAAGAAAACCCAAAAGTAACAAATTTTCAACTAGACTAAGAGAAATTGAGGAAACTTGATGGGGCGTGATCTACCCTTTGTAATTTATTGGGTGTATCATGTATGGGGAGCTGGCTGATGGCCAGACAGGGGGCTTTTAGTATTCTTCCAGATAGCTGTTTCTCTAGTGTTTTTGTACCTCAAAAATTTGATAAATTTTTCTTAATTATTACCAACCAAAAGAAAAAATATAAAGGATCTTGATTTCCTCCCCCAACAGCTTCTTCATTCTTTGTATAACAAACTTTAGTCCAACAAGCTTTTCTGCTCCATCAGTACCTCCACTCTCTTAGATTCTTAGTCTTAGAGAATGTTTAGTTCCACCTGATTCTTCCAACCAATTTAAGTAATAATTCACTTATTCACTTTTGAAGGGGACTAAAAAATTGTTGTAAACTGGCTGAAGAAAGAGGAAGGAGCAATATGGAGGCTAAGGAATGAGCTCAGGCGCTTCAAGCAGGTTTCTAATGATTTGGTGATTCAAATAAGATGGATTAGGAGATCAGCTAACAGCATTGATGATGGTTTAGCTAAGCAATGAGTTCAAAGACAATCTATGTTCTGGGCTATGTTGTAGTTAGTGGGATTTCCTTTGGGCTATCTTTGGGGCTGTGTTGTAAGTAATGAAATTGTCCTTTGGGCTATAAATTGGGACTGTGTTGTGATTAGTGGGATTTTCCTTTGGACTTTTTGTCTGCCCACAACTTCTTGTTATACATGATTTTTTAATTTAATGAATCATTTATGTGTTTCTGATCAAAAAATAATAATTCACTTTTGCTGATTATGTTGTTAGTCCAAAAAATAATAATTGTCAATAAATTGAAAGAACTAGATTAAGAAGTCATAAGTCAAAAGAATTATCTATTAGATAATCCTCCGAACAGAGACTTCTGGAGATGAACATTTTTTTTTATAATTCTTCTAGAAATGAACATTTATCATAGCAACTCTATTAGCTTTCATTTTTAAGAAGCAACTAATTAACTAATTATGATGGTTACTTTCTATTTGCTGTTTTCTCTTCTATCTAACGCATAGATAGCCAAGACTGTCTACCAGCGATCTCATCAAAAAAAAAAAAAAAACTGTACCCCAGTCACTCGTGCAAACCTCTTGGCTGCACGATGAATGTTCAGCAACATATACACTAAGTTGAAATCATGTTGTCAAACGTAAAATTCTTTTTTTTTTTTGTCATTTGAAGCACTTGAAAACAGACATGCGTTCATTTTCTGAAATGCCAGATGCGCTTCTCAATGAGAACAAGCTCAAAAGATGGAAATCGCCAAGATAAAGAAAATGTAGAAAGAAAAAGTAAAGAATTTTATGTGGCTTTCACCATAGAAGTTGAACGGAAAAAAATAATAACCAGCTTGGTGATGATAAATCACTTCCTGCAGGTCCAACCATCCCGTGTAACTCAAATATTACTGTGCACTCCTAGAGGAAGATGATTGTCTTAAGGTTTTCACAAAAACATTTATTTTGTGCTTAGGATTACTGACAGTAACCTCTGACACCCCAATGGTACTCACCCTTGATCAACACCCAATTTTTCTAGGTTCAGGAAACAAGCCAAACAAAATACACAAACTAAAGAGGCAGAAACCCTAGCCCGCGTTCGCTTGGAGCGAATTCCTAAATTGAATAAACCCAGCTTCCAAAAACCAACCCAAATACAATTCAAATGTTATAAAACAAACATACTTCAGCTCAAAACCCTAAAACCAGCTACCAACAGATCAAGCTCTAAACCCTAATTCATTCGCTCTCCTACACTCACCAACTCCCACCCCCGTTCAGCAGCTCCAACGGGAAACACCTCGAAACTAACAATGTGAATCAAATTCACCAAACTCTTAAACCCCAACCCGTGAAACAAAGCACAGAAACTCCTCGGAGATCACAAAACGCGGTAAACATAGGATCCTGAAGTAACTCACCGCTGCTATCGGAGAGCCCGTAATCCATACCAAGGCTCCTGGAACCAGATCCCTACTCGAACGAAATTAACCCCGGAATTCACTCTAGGCGTCCAGAAAAGCTGAAAGATCCGAATGAATCAACAGAAACAGAAGCTGCAATCGACCACGAGCGGGATGTTGGCGATCCTCTTCTACATTCTTTCTGGAAACATGACGGAGAAGCGATTCAGTAGGCTTTGAAACGAGGGCCTGAGCGGGAATTCGAAGCTGGAGAAGGAGATATCCGTTTGACACTTGAAAATCAGTTAAATAGAGGGAGGGAGGGAGAGGGAGCAGCAAGGGACACGACTCACGAGCGTGGTCGATCAGTCAGGTCTGCAAGCGAGAGGGAATGCGAGGAGAAAAGACGGACTTGAAATGTATTTTATAGCGCCTTTTTTTTCAATTTATAGTGGAGTTTGAGGTCCGCCCCTTCTCGCTTCTATTGTCTGCTTGTGCGATCTAGGGCTTTGAAAAGTTCGGGGCTTTCCCGAGTTAGAGCGGGCACCTTTAAATATGCAAAAATCTAGTTTGATTGATGATGGATCATGGGTCGTCGATCGTGGATCATGGATCATGGATCATAGGTGGAATCGCATCCGTATCGTATGAACCAAAAGACCCGTGGGCCGTGGCCGGTCCGATCGGGCTATTTGCTTTTGATTTGATGAATAGCCAAGTAGGGGTGAATTAAATTCTTGTGGTTACATGATTACACGTGTGTAGCAAAGAAATGGACAGACTGACACTCAAAAGACAGCTGAATCAAATAAAAATCAACCTTAAAGAATCTACTAAAATCGAGTTCTAATTGTCTACAGTTCTACTCGACGTACTCGTAGCATTCGGCCATCAATCAAGATATTCCACGTCAGCTCCATACAAATGGGAATGAGAATTATAGGTGTAAATCGGGTTGGCTTGGCACGACAGCCCGCGGGCCGTGTCAGGCCCAGCATTATGATCCGTGTCGTGCTGGGTCTAGGGTTCGTAGTCTACTCACCGGTATGGCCAATAGGGCCCATAGCAGGCCACGCTCAACCCATCCGAAAATTAGGCTATCCATCTGGCCCGGTGGCCCCTACTTCCCAGTCCCCCCAACAGCTAGTTTCAGTTCTTTGAGGGTTTTTTACATAAATAGCTCCCAATATAGCTATTTTAGGGGGGTATTTATGTATTTTGCTTATGAATGGGAGAAAATGACACAAATGCCCCCCAGCAGCTATATAACAACTAGTTTAGGGGGGTTTTGAGTAAAGTTATAAATAACTTTATAATAACCAAAATACCCCTCCCAACAACTAAAAAATAATTGATTTTTAGGGTATTTTGGGCAATTGAGTTATCTTTAATTCCTATGAATAGCCATCCACCATACTTTTCATCACACCAATTCAATAATCAACAATCAACAATTCTCTTAATCTCTTCCCATTCTCTCATACATTCTTTGCGGTTTAAGTGAACTCTAATAGTCTGATTGGCTGAGTGTCTGATTCTCCAAGTTAGCAATTTGGGAGGCTTGAAGCCTTAGACGTTGAAAGGCTTTAACCGTTGAAATAAAGTTGAGATTCTGAACTGACAATCYGGGGTAAGTCCAATTAAATTAATTTTATTTTTTTAGAATTAAAAAAATTGGCAAAAAATGTAGAAGATGTTCTGAATCGACAATTCGATTTGAAAAGTATTTAAAATAGAAGATGTTGAGGGGAAGGGAAATATAGCAATTTGCCAAAAATGTAGAAAATAATTTAGTTATTTTAGCAAGGGTGGTACTGATCATTTAAGCAGACTTTCTCACACATGCAAAGGAATAAGAAATAACCCACAATTTAAATGAATTATTGAAGTAATGGAAAATATATTTTAAAAATATTTGGAGAACATTTCTCCCCTTTATTGCTTAGCTACGATATTAGATCTTAAGATTAGGAAATATGGTTTTAATATTTCACTTGAAACATATTGTGAAAATATGAATATTAAAATTAGAAATAAAAAAGAATAAATTAATAATTTATTATTTGAAATGTTTTGTTTATATGAATTTGATTAGCAGTAGGACTTAAAACATATTGTGAAAATATGAATAGTGAAATTGGAAATAAAAAATAAAAAATTAATAATTTATTATTTGAAATGTACAATTTATATGAATCTGATTATCTGAAACAGTACGAAATAATAAGTAGAAGGTAGAAATCTGCTACTTCTACAACAAGTTCATTTAGTGAACTTAATTTATTTACAAGCAAATTTTTCTAGTTTAGGTGAGGGTCATGAGGGAACAAATAATTTTGATATTTTAGCCTGGTGGAGTGAACATTCAAAAATTTATCCAGTTCTCGCCGTCATAACACGTGATCTACTAACCCCTCTAGTGTCTACAGCTACAATTCAATCGGAGTCTTGTTTTAGTGCAGGTACCACTGTACCAGGGTTGGCTAGATGCAGTCATGCAGAAGATAGATTACAACTTTACAAGACAAATGAGGGCATGATACTACTACATACATCAAATATTTCACCTAAAGCAAATGATGAAAGTCATGATTCATGAACATAGTTGACTATTTGTATAGAATTTTTTATTTTTTATTTTTCAAATTATTATAAATTTTGTTTAATTTATTTGCTACTAATGTAATTTTGTATTTTCAATTTGTAACCATATTGTATTTTTTATATTTTATTAGTTTATTCCATTTTCATATTTCATTCATCCAAGTATGAAGTATCCAACCATTGTATATTTCAATATTTGTATGCTTTGTAATTTGTATTTGAATTATTTTTTTTGGGTAATCGTAATCCATTCAATCTAGTCTGGTTCGGCCCAGCCTGACATGGCCTAAACCCATGGCACAGCCTGTAGCCTGGCATGGCCCAAGCCCACAGCACAGCACGGGCCTAGGTTGTTGCCCATGCTGGGCCGACCCCCAAAATTTTCACTAAGGAGTGTGACATGGCCCGTGACGGCCTATGAGCCAACATTTGCATGGCCTGCACTTTGCACGGGCCATCCGCAAGCCGTGCCATGCCTGCCTGACACAACCCACTTTACACCTCTAATGAGATACTTTGGCAAGTTGGGGATCTCCTCCCAAGTCCCAACAAAAAAGTGTTCTTCTTAATGCATGAAATCCATATCACCTCCCAACAAAATACGTTCAAACACCCTCCCAACGTTATCTTTCCATACATGATGATACATCTCATATATGGCGGGTCCTAGGTGAGATGTGTGGGGGTCGATCATGTTGAGAGGGTGTTGGAAGGAGTTTTGTTGGCAGGTGATCTCAACTCCTTTGCATGACACATGGGGTATGTTGTTTCCTTTAATTTGGTGCTTTCCTTTTTTTTTCATTTTTCATTTGAAGTTCTAAAAGGGTGTTCGGTAATTACTATTAATAGCAAGCTTGAATATGGTACCTAAAAAAATGCTATTCACACATTAGGAACAATTTTTCTACATGTGTGTTAAATTCATAGGGAGATATAAACGTAGATGCCAATGGTTTGAGAGTGTGTGTAAAATATTTGTTTCCTTTAATTTGGTGTTTTCCTTTTTTTTATTTTTCATTTGAAGTTCTAAAAGGGTGTTCGGTAATTACTATTAATAGCAAGCTTGAATATGGTACCTAAAAAATGATATTCACACATTAGGAACAAATTTTCTACATGTGTTAAATTCATAGGGAGATATAAACGTAGATGCCAATGGTTTGAGAGTGTGTGTGAAATATCTCATTGCCCTATGAAGTGTCCTTTGTGTAGCATTGTAGTACCAACTCATTGACAACTTCATTTAAGACGAAACGATAATGGGACCATCAATAGTAGCTCTAAAATGGTGCACTTCATTAGATGTAGCATCTACCATTAGATTGCATTTTTCGTGAATGTTCAATATAAATCTCATTTCCCCCTTTTCGTCATTGTTCAATACAAATATGTAGAGTGCAAAACCTTGTATATTGTATTATTTTCTATCTATTTGTATTGTACATATTTGTATTTGTACTCCTTCCAAATGGAGTCTATGGTAGAGGTGTAAAGTGGGTCGTGTCAGGCTAGCATAGCATGGCCCGTAGGTGGCTTGTGCAAAGTGCGGGCCGTGCCATGCTGGCCTGCGGCTATCACAGGTCGTGTCGCACTCCCAAACATTTTGGGGGTTGGCCCGGCATGGCCCACGGCCCAGGCTCATGTGGGCCCGTGTCATGCTGCAGGCTTGGTCCGGATCGGGTTGTAGGCTGTGTCGTGGGCTTGGGCCTGGGCCGAACTGGGCTAGGCTAATTTTTTTATTTTCTTTATTTTTTTGGAAATTTTTTATTTCTTTTCTAAGTAAAAGTGTAAAACTAAAATATTTAACTTTCCTTTGAACTTTGGGAACTATTTGAAAAATTAAGAAATGAGAAATCTAAGTTATCTAACACATAAATGAAAAAAAAAAATACATAACCAAATAAGAATGATGGAATAACAAATTGGAAGAAAAATAGGAATCTTATTTCATTTAAATTTGAATGATACAAATTACAAATACAATGATTGGATCATTGGATACTTGGATGAATAAAATATGAAAATGGAATAAATTAATAAAATATAAAAAATACAATATAGTTATAAATTGAAAATACAAAATTACATTGTTAAAAAATTAAAAAAATAGCAAATAAATTAAATAAAATTTTAAAAATAAAATAATTTGAATAAAAAATAAAAAATTCTATATAACTAGTAAACTTCATGAATCATGACTTTCATCATCTGCTTCAGGTGAAATATCCAGTGTAGTATCATGCCCTCCTTTGTTTTGTAATCTATCTTCAACATCTAGTTAATCCTTAAAATATGTGCGCATCTCTATACTTTCATCAGCTTCTCTTGTCATCCAACACCCTGGTACATACACTAAAACAAGACTCAAATGCAACTGTAAACATCGGAGGGATTAGTAGATCACGTGCCATGGCGGCGAAAACTGGATAATTTTTTTAATGTTCACTACACCAGGCTAAAATATCAAAATTATTTGTTCCCTCACCTAAACTAGAAAAAAATGATTGTAAATAAAAGTTACGTTCAGTAAATGAACTTGTTGTAGAAGTAGCATATTTTTGCCTTCTACTTATTAAATAAAAAAGCTTTTCTCTTATACTATTGGGCTTAAGATCAAAAGTGTAAGATGTTGTACAAGTTGTAGGAATATTTCCTATTGTTTCAGATTCATATAAACTATACATTTCAAATAACAAATTATTAAATTATTTTTTTATTTCCAATTTCAATATTCATATTTTCACAATATGTTTCAAGTAAAATATCTAAACCATCTTTCCTAATCCTATGGTCTAATATTGTAGCTAAACAATAAAGGGGAGAAATGTTATCCCAATATATATTTTTTAATTTACTTTCCATTATTTCAATAACACATTTAAATGGTGGATTATTT